CACACACACACACACACACACACACACACACACACAAACACACACACGGCAATCAGCAGAGCGTCCCGTTGCGCAATCATGCGTGTGCGTGTCGCAAGATCACTGTGTGAGATGGATGTTCAGACGCGTAGCCTAGCGGCTCCTCGTCCGGAACCGGTCACGTAGCCATGGCCTAAATTAACTGCTATCTATACAATAAAATATATTACTATATGTTTTGGGCAGATTCATAGTTTTGGATCTCGTACCTATATATTTTGGTGGGGTTAATACCAACTCTCTTCCCCCTCTTATTCAACCTTGCCAAACATTTTTTGGTGACTATGAGGTGGCCTAAGTTTTAGTGTAAATGTGGCAGATTTTAAGAGCAGAAGTGATGTTAGTTGACAGAGTGAAAGCTTCTAAGTGTCAAATTCAGATTAAGGGGGCTATCCAGATGTTTAAGTGTCGTACATATGTTAGATCTTCCACTGTATACAGCATATATATGCAGGAAAATGGGCCACGCTATATTGGTGAAGCATATATGGGAGTACCATAAGTCTCCTCTTCAGGGAAAAAATTTATTTTTCGGGGGCTACTTTTCAAGCTTGCATGCATGAAAATAGCACTCTAAAATTTGTTTTGCATTGAACTCTATGCAAATTTACGGAAGCTCTTTTTAGCATTTCCAGGGCTCTTTTTGGCATTTCGGGGGCTAAATCGCCCCGAGCCCCCGTGTATTTTTTTCACTGCTCCTCTTCCATAGGTAGTGGGTGTAGATGATATTCTCGTGTGAGTTTTGGGTAATGTCTGCCATTGTTATCTCCTTTATGATTTTACTACAGAGTTGGCGATGAGCCCCAACTCGTCCGAAGTGCACGTGTATCGCTGGAAAGATGGAAAGTGGGATTTGTACGATGTACTGACTGAGCATGAGCAGAGAGTCACGAGCATTGACTGGGCTCACAGTAGCAACAGGCTCGTCACCTGTGGAGCTGTGAGTGTCTCATTGCTTTCTTTAGGCATGTGATTATATTTGGGGGGGGAGGGGATTTCGTGGTAGCTGTGGATGTACAGCTAACTCTAGATTTACATGAACGTGAGTTACGCATTGAACACTTTTTATCATTTACATAAGCTCTATTTATAATAATGCTTTTACTGACAAGCGACCAGTGGCAGGCAGTGTGTTTGTGTGTATACTTGTGTGGCATGGGAATATTTGTATCCACCCTACAGTAAGTTGTGCTGATATTTCACATGTTTTTGTATTTTGTTATACCTGTATACTGTGGCTTCCACTGGAATAATAGTTGCTACTATAATAACTTATCTTATGTAACATCTTATTAAGAACATAAACCCCATAAGGCCACCCTTTTGGCGAAACGAAATAATTTTTGTTTTGTTTTAATCTGCCAATAAAATGTGTCGAGTAGCGTCGTTTTGGTGAGTCGGTCGGTAAAGGGGAAACAAGCAATATTTTATCTTAGGCCCAATCTCTAATATTTACATAGTCCAATTCATGTATTTTTCTAAATCTTCAATCCATTTTCTCATAAATCGAGAGTTATCTATCGTAAAAATGGTTAACATTTTAGCAATTTTATATGCTTTTGTGTGAAGCGTTGTAAATGGACAGTTTAGGTGCCTGACTAATCTGATAGTTTAACGACAGTAATATAATAACAGTGAGTTCTGCAACGGTGCCTTGTTTTTGTCTTTGATCTTAGGATCGGAATGCCTATGTGTGGTCCTTCAATGGCAGCAAGTGGAAGCCTACACTTGTAATTCTGAGAATCAACAGGGCTGCAACTTGTGTGAAATGGTCACCCCTGGGTAGGTGTTAGCATGGCATTGCTTGTTAAACAATATCGTATAACTAAGCCTCGTCCAACAGACGAGAAAAATTATGCATTTACTAAACACTGTGGAATGATTAGTATCGTTTCACTTCCAAAATCGAGCCAACCTGCCGCATCGACATTGTAGCTGTTTCCTCGCTCACACCTGCTTGTCTTTTTCTCTCGTTGATCAGAGAACAAGTTTGCGGTGGGCAGCGGTGCTCGGCTGATTTCTGTCTGCTACTTTGAGCAGGAGAACGACTGGTGGGTGAGCAAACACATTAAGAAGCCCATCCGCTCCACCGTGACCAGGTATGCGCACCCGCATCCAGGGTATAAAAAACACACGGAAGCGATGAGCGATTTGCTCTTCAAACTTCCGAAATCGCTCTCGTGAGGCTCAAAATAGCTCCCGTAAAAATTTTGACAAGAGCTATTTTTTCCACAGACTTTTGAAAAAGAGCTCCCGTGAAAATCTTTTTATTTTTTCCCTGCCCGCATCGCCAGCGCTGCACAAATCCGGCATTTTTCTCACCTAGAAGAACATTACCACTGTGTTGGCTGATTATTTACTCCTGGGTGATGTGATCGTTTCAAATGGAACGTGTTACTTGTTTAACTGTCACTGAATGTGTCACTGTCAAGCGTGTATGATGCTCCCACCATTGCTGTCTACGTTTAGCATTTTAATTTTAAACTCTTTAAATAAATACTGTCTGAAAGTACTATGCTGCATACAATCATCTGTCATATAATAATGTGAACTAAGTGAAAATCACATCGTACATCATTAATTATCATGTGTCGATGTATATAACTGCTGCTGACAGAAATGTGATGTTTTGGAAGATAAACTATGAAAGGGATTCTTATTTCATGTAAAAGCTTATTCATGCTCACTTTTGCTTGCATTCAGCTGTGTTTCTCATTTCACAGCATTGATTGGCATCCTAACAACGTGCTGATTGCGGCTGGTTCCTCGGATTTCAAAGCCAGGTAATTAATGGTGGTTTAAGTTGCACCAGGTTGTGGCTGTGCTGAAACTTCTGCATGCTGCGGCCTGGATAATAGGATGCTGTGCTTCTAATGAGCTGATCAATTTCTGTAGTAAATCATTCTAGCGTTTAGAATGTGAAGCTTCACGATAACTGTAACTTCATTTTACAAAATTGATCGAACGTGGTTGGGTACAATTGCTGAAGTGTCTGAAGTGTTTATCTAGCATTTTACCTTGATCGGTATTTGAACCCTGAAGACATTGGCTCTCATATTACCTTCCTGCAGGGTGTTCTCCGGTTACATTAAGGAGGTAGATGAGAAGCCATCCAGCACACCTTGGGGCAAGAAGATGACACTTGGCAACATGATGGCTGAATTCTCTAATGGAGGAGGTTAGTAACTTACTGTATACGCCATATTTTTGCGAATTCAGACTTGACGGACAATTTCGCGAGTGGTTAATTTCACGGTGGGTGAATATTTTTCCACGCGTAGCATACTCTTAAGAGTTGTTTTCACGTAAGAACGCCGGTGAGCTTTTCTACTGAATATGTCTTGTGTATGTACAGCATGTATTCTATGCTACAGGCGGCTGGGCTCACTGCGTAAGCTTCTCAGCAAGTGGCAACAAGCTGGCCTGGGTCGGCCATGACAGCAGCATCAGCGTCGTCGATGCCGCCAACGATATGGCGATATCGACCATCAAAACCGATAATCTACCTTACATGACCTGTCAGTGGGTTACCGAGTACAGCATCGTCGTGGCTGTGAGTATCTGCATTGGCTAATATTAATTTACCTATTAAAAAGACGTTTTCTTATAATATACGTATTCACATTAGACGTTTAAATGAATGACTTTTAAATCTTTTGGATGTGTAGGTATGGAAAATTTGTGCTATAAAAACTTTTGCATGAAAACTCTTTAGAACGGGCACCTTTCCATAAAGGATACGTCACATTTCCCTTGATTGGCAGTTACAAAACCTAACCACCTCTATGGGACAGATGTCGGCCTGCAAAAGACACTCTTCATTTTCCTTGAGTGGCAGTTATACAGTGAAACCATATCTATAGATATAGAACAGACATCTGTCTGTGAAAGGCACTTTCGGTGTTTTCCTTGAATCGTCTTTACATGCAGGTTTCACTGAACCCACGCTTTGTGTTTCTGTGCTCAGGGCCACGACTGCCTGCCGTTTGTCTTCTGCCACGACGAGGGGAAGCTCAGCTTTGTCGAGAGGATGGACGTGAAGACGGAGAAGGCGGCGAGCAAGTTCAGTGCCAAGGCCATCTTTCAGAGCATGGACAGACACGGCGAACGCGAGGGCACGGGAGTCGAGTGCGACACGCTGCACCAGAACGCGATCAAGTAAGTAACGTGAAAAGTAACGAGTCTAACGACCCAGGCCAGCTTGTTGCCGCTTGCCGAGAAGCTAATGCAGTGAGCCCAGCCGCCTGTACCACATGATACATGTTGTACATAATACATAAGAGGCCAGTTTTACCTCCCCTGATCGATTGCATCACTGCATTTTATGACGTAAATGTTTATTTTTGTCCTACATATGTAATGGGTACATAATGGGTTTCCATCAGCAGCACTTTAATTGGAAAAGAGGAGTAGTTTCGGTATTGTTTCCGAACGTGAATGATTGGCGGGCAATAATCAAGGTTTCATCTTCTTTCAGACAGGTCACAATCCACACTGGGACCAAGGCTGGGGCTAGTAAAATTTCTACTTGCGGCGTGGATGGTCAGGTCATTATTTGGGATTTCAAGGCGAGTTAACACTCTCTGATCTAATTGTATTACTGTCAATTCTTGAATGCAGTTTCATTGCATTTTTCAAGAAAAAACATTTATTGCATGTCCGAAATTGGAAATGAACCGATTTGTTGATGTCACACCACAGAATTGTCAATGTAAGTTGAGTAATCTGGTGGGGCGGTGGCTGGTGCAATTTTGATTTCAGATAAGGTTGGCACAGTGGGTGGGGTCAGTGGGTGGAGGTGGGGGGGGGGGCTCTTTTGCAGTGTGGCACTTGCAGAGACCTTGCATAATGCAGTCGTTTTTTGTTTATTTTCCAGACACTGGAATCCAGAATTGCCAACCTGAGGATCGTGTAAGGCGAGGCACATACCTGGCTTCTGATGAGAGCTCTCCTAAATGCATGATGGTGCAGCTTAGCCTGCACTGGGCAGCGAAGGGATTCTTGTTACCTCGGTAACAGGGTAAAAAATACACGGGAGCGATGAGCAATTCGCTCTTCAAACCTCTGAAATCGCTTCCGTGAGGCTCAAAATAGCTCCCGTAAAATGTTTGACGAGAGCTATTTTCCCCACAGACTTGAAAAAGTGATTTTTTTCCCCTGCTCGGTAATTAAAACAAATTTTATAAAATACTGTCAGTCAATTAAAATGGTATGCAGCATGCTGTCAGATCATGTGTTGATTTCTAAATAATTGGATTCTTCTAAATTTTTCATCGAATAAGTGAATGATGGTAAAACAATGGTTCATGCTTAATTGTAAAACCTTGTTTTGAATTGCTGCTACAGTTTTCATTAAAGATTCAATTAGGATACATGATTCTACAGCTTCCACAGGCACACTTGAGGTTTCATAATTAAATAAAATTATGCTAGCTGTGCTCGTCATCTTGGTGTCTAAATTGGCTCTGGTTTTGTGGACATTGAATCGGCTGACCGCATGGTATCATTGTGCGGGGCTGTTCATGGATAAATTTCCAAGCGATAGAAATCTAGTGAGTCTATGCTGGGTTTCAGCTATAGTCTCCAGCCAGGTTGGTATGCAATTATATGTCAGTGGAATAATATGCAATATTATCTAGAGTACATTAACACCACTGCTAACTGCTGGTAATGTACTCGTAATATTACTGTATTGCTTTGATAAGTTCCTTGTCTATGTAGTTCATATTTTGGCAAATAATTGCTGGATCATGGATTACAACAATTTATGTTTTCTCACAAAATAAATTTCAGCATTAACTATACAATATATTCCGTTTTTGTATGCGTAAGTTTTTAATGTAATAAATGACCTGCTATCAGTCATGCAAATCATCTTTATTGCTATTACTATTATTGCTATTATTGTTGTGATTATTTTTTATTATTATAATAATTTGTCATCACCATTCTAGTCTTTCATTTGCAATAAAGTTATAGATATTATTCATGAGGAGTTTGCTAAATACTATCAGGAGTAGATAATCTATATTATCCCTATTATCTACTCCTGATACTATAGTAGTTCTATAAAGTTTCCTTTCCTAGATCGCCATCTCCATAAGGAAGGGAGTAGTGAGTTTCTGTATTGGAGAAATATAGCAAGACTCCCGTGAATCTCTGCTTAACACCCACCCACACACACACAAATATAAACTAGACAGAGGGCACTCACGGAGAGTTCATACCTGCGCGAACATGTAACATGTATGTGCTCGCTGGTGGCGGCTGCTGACTGACTTGCCTGCTGCTGACTCGCTGCTCACTGGTGGCTGCTGCTGACTCGCCACTCGCTGACTCGACGCGTTATCGATTCGCCGCTCACTGGCGGCTGCTGCTGACTCGCCACTCGCTGACTCGACGCGCTATCGATCGCGCGGTGGCTACACACACACACACACGCGAGCGATTGCATGACCTCCGTTTGCGCGGAGGTAATTATACACATTAATGTAAAACTGTTGCAAGTAACGGCTAAATTTATAATGCTTTCCAGTGTGTTACAATTCACGCACGAATTATGTAAATTATGTGTTTCTTTAAATACAGGTAAGTGCGACTGTTTATGACTCACGATAGACACTATTCATAAAAACAATCATCCAATGTGTGGATCAGAATCATTAGTCGCGTTCACACGGTCATGGTTTGGCTCGAGCCAAATGGGCTAGATTTGGCTCGGGCCGGTTTTAGTCGGCGCGTTCACACGTACGCAAGTGAATACTGTCTGTCAAATTCAAATTCAAATTCAAATAAATTTTATTGCACAAATATCTCACAGATACTTTGGCAGTATGTCGCGAGATGGCGTTGTTTACGATTCAGAGTGTTTACTTACGTTTCGAGTTTTTCGTGTGTATGAGTTTTTCGAATTTTTATACTGTTTTGGACTTTATTTCGTCGAAGTACACGTTCGCCTCTCGCGGCATCTAC